GACGTACACAGGTGTTTGACACTATTAGAAACAGTTGTCGACCAAGTAGCATGTGCACCAAGAGCATGTTATATTCATTATGTGCATGTCTCACCGTTAAAATTGCACTGAGAAAATACACAGTGTATAGCATGTTTCTTGACAATCGGGAATGAGTCATGAAAGTCTGGGGGCAATTTGTCAATTTTGTGATCCCCACTTGCAGTCAATGAAAGCTTTTCAAAGGCGTTTGTCTAAAAAAAATAGCTTCTTTGCGAATATAAGTATTTTGTATAACCATTTGATTAGTCAGCATGAAACCCCGACTTTCCTTAAGCATGAATCCGTCAGTCCGTTGACTGAACAGTAAACAGCGGAGGCTCGCTAGTTCCGATCCCGTTAGCCCCACCGTTAGCTCTGATGCCGTTAGCCCTGATCCCGTTGGCCGCATCATTAGCCCTGATCCCGTTAGCCCCACCGGTAGCCCTGATCCAGTTAGCCCCACCGGTAGCACTGATCCCGTTAGCCCCACCGTTAGCCCTGATCCCGTTAGTTTCACCGTTAGCCCTGATCCCGTTAGCTCTGATCCCGTTAGTTCCACCGTTAGCCATTATCCCGTTAGCCCTGATCCCGTTAGTTCCACCGTTAGCCCTGATCCCGTTAGTTCCACCGTTAGCCCTGATCCCGTTAGTTCCACCGTTAGCCCTGATACCGTTAGCCCTGATCCCGTTAGTTCCACCGTTAGCCCTGATCCCGTTAGCCCCACCGTTAGCACTGATCCCGTTAGCCCCACGGTAGCCGTGATCCCGTTAGTTCCACGGTTAGCCCTGATCCCGTTAGCCCCACCATTAGCCCTGATCCCGTTAGTTCCACCGTTAGCCCTGATCCCGTTAGTTCCACCGTTAGCCCTGATCCCGTTAGTTCCAAGACCAGCGCCTTCCGACTGGTGTCTGTTGTCTAAATACAACATGACATTACTCGATAACCACTATTCCGTTTGTCCGGATACTTGTTATTCCGAAAGATTGCCTGAGGATGCTTTTGTCCGGATTAACGAGGTTTCGGCGTAATTATTGTTATAAGCTCCATTGACGTAAATGGAATGAAAGAAACCTATAAACATGAAAAACACTTGTATAAAGAACATATATTATATTTTTACGAAACTTGTCAAAAAGCAACCCAAGATTCATACCCATCCTCGATTAACCAGTGCATTCTATCCCCATCCTATTATGATAACTTCCCTGTACTCTATTGCCATCATTGTGTTTTGGGCCCCATTCGTATGACTCGTCGGTAACAATAGCCGTCCAATCAAATTACTGTCCCGAGCGAAAGAAATTCTTTGCTAGAAATAAGCGAGATACAGGCGGTGACGTCATTTCCGAAACAAAGCTATGGTAGTGAATAGGTCCATGCAGTGGTCCGTTCCGCAAAGCTACTGTAGCGCCAAGGCGATCGTAACTCCCATAGTTTAACATAGACTTACTACTTTCTGCGCTAAGATCGCTTTGTGGAACGGGGTCCAGGGTATTTAACGTAATAGAATGGAGATATAATTCCCTGGATAATCGACGATGATTTATACCGTGCTCTGTGCATGACAACCCACTGAAATACCCTAAACAACGGAAGCGAACAGACTGAGCTGTCCGTCTGTCCACGTCGTGTATATTGCTCAAAAGAAGTTAAGGACCACCCGATTCCCCCATATTACTATAGTTAATATGTAATGCCATGATAGATTACTATAATAATATGAAAGAATCAGGTGGTCCTTAACTTCTTATGAGTAGTATATATGGTTCATAATATCATAGTTAAACGACGCTCTCTGCAATGTTCCAGCTATATGACATCCTTTAAATAATCCAGACAATCAGGTGATTGATATTGTGAGAAACGAACACGCCATCCATCAAGTCAGCGAGCCTGACCACCCGATCCATTGAGGCACCTCTTGAATGACCAGCATAGGTTGCTAAGGACCAATTCTTACCCAGAATACACACGGGTTTTTAACGAAATAAACAGTCTGGCTTCAATTTATATCATAATCAGCGTCAGATCTGAAATACACATACATCTAGGTGTAAGTCAGTAATTAACTTTCCATTTATCACGAAATAATTGCGAATTGAATAAAAACGGCAGCTAGCATCAGTAAATTTTCTGGGACTAATTTTAAGCATTCTGATTTATGTTTCACTGTTTACTCAAACCCCCTGTTCCGAGAGAGTTAGTTTCAAATACACATGTACTTAGCTCAATAATGTAAATCTGGTTGTTTTTATGGCAAACTGAACGAAAAAAGCACGTCTTAACATTTTGCGGGTGGACTTGATTAACGGGATACCCGGATAAATCTCACCCCTCCCGTCCTGACCCCCCTACACATTAGTTTGTACAAACATTTAGTGTCCCCCTGGGGGGATTGTCACATCCATGGTGCCCCCCATCAAAAGACTGGGGCAGCGTTAGACGTGCTCTTCACACAAAACACCAGTGCGTCAGTGTCACTACAAGCATAAGTGTACCCTTCCGAGTGCCGCACAAGCGGCGATATTTGCTCGATTCATGACGATATGTGTGTTTCATACAAAACATCCACGTGCGGTGAGCCCCTTACTTTACAGAGGTTGGAATTAATCAAATCCATTGACATGCGTGGCGAATATGTACGGCTAACAATCGCATTGCTTACATTGAACTAACTCTACCCCCACCGTCGCTACAAGCTTGCTAACAATGTGGACATAAATTTAACGTCACAGTGTTAAATAACGTCCAAATTCCAAACCGGTTACCTTGAATAAATAAACGATAGGTTTTTTTGTAAAAATAAAACTTTCTCACTAAACAATAAACGAAGAAATGTCTTAATTATGCATGTGTGTCTTTCGCTTGCTCAAGAGGTTACGTTCTTGTGCCAGTCTGTACAAGTCATGCATTCTGTGTACCACACGAAAACTAAGCCAAGATCGCGCCAATGTCGATTGCCTCAATAAAAAACAACATACAATGTACAAGTTTATGCATATCGGAAGAATAATTTAGTCAAACTGTCCGAATATATTAACAATGCTATATATATTTTTAAAAATTAAAAAGAAAATAGTTTTTAAAATGCTGTCACTACACAATGTTTCGATAGATCGTAAAAAAAATAAAGCGTTTGGGAGGGTCACTGCTTTTGTACAGTCATGGGAGAAAAATCTCCGCCCCTCCCCTCAGAAACTACTGTTCCCTTACATCAATATTTTCTTGTATGTCTGCCAGGAGAACACAAGAGAAGGGTCACGAAAGATTATTGGTCAGCGATAAATTGTGAAACCCAGGTAAACTCCCTGGCCTATGTTGAACAATATTTATGCAGTGCTATCAGATTCCATGTTTCGGACGAAAGGATCGACGTATGCTTGTATGGTATTGTGAACTTTCAAGTGCCCACCTGTTTTTTTTTCTCTTGCTTGTCGTGTGTATGATATCTTAAAGGGGGATTCTCATCGAGCCAGCTGGCAGCCTGGGCACGGTTAGTCGAGGTCGATCAACACGACTGTGTAACACTACCAAGACATCGGTCACTTGTTATTCAAAAATATTTTTCCCTGAGAAAAGATGAAAAATATTGGGTATCTTGGAGCAGTGGCCGAGAACATATTCTGTCTAAACATTAGGAGATACATGATGATCTTGAAAGTTCTTCTGTCAAAAATAGTTACTTTGGTCATGATAATCACACATATTTCGAGACACTGCTTGAATTTATTTTTTCATATATGTTTTGTTTCTGTGGGTTGTTTTTTTGGGGTGTTTTTTTTTTTTTTTTTTTTTTTTTTGGGGGGGGGTATTTTTTTGTTTTTTTTGTTGGGGTTTTGGTTTTTTTAAGTTGGGGGGGGGGGGGGGGGCGTGGTGTTGCTGTTTGGTGTGGTGGGTGGAGGGGGGCGCACGGTGCTTACTTCGTAACATGTTCTTTATGACTTACCTAACGTCTCAAACCATACGATTATCTTTTAGCGTAAATGGTATTCAACGCTCAACATGGTACAGTCTAACCCCGTGGACGAACCGCGGTAGACAAGGGCCCCTGTTCTCCTTGCAAGATTTGCTTCCTTGCACACTGTGGTCCCATGGATATCCCACTCAGACACAGGAAGGGTGTCAACAAGTACCAGGAAGGGTAACAACAAGTACCATCTTTTGATATGACGCTGCCCGGGATCGAACCACCGACCTTCCCCTCTCCGGACAGACGCTCTACCACTAGACCCGGAGACGGTTTACAAGGTAAACGTCTGTCTTCCTACTGCGTCAATTTCGGCCTTCCTTCTACATTATAACTCAAATACTTTTCAAAGCGTCGAGAACCCGTGAAGATCCGGGTTAGAATGGCACATCAGCAACCCATGCTTGTCGTAAGATGCGACTATGTTTGTCGTTAGAGGCGTCTTGCGGGATCGGGTGGTCTGGCTCGCTGACATGGTTGATGCATGTCATGTTATCCAAATTGCGGAGATCGATGCTAATGATGTCAATCACTGGATTGTCTGGCCCAGACTCGATTATTTACATTCCGACTACATAGAACTGGAATATTGGTGAGTGCGGCGTTAAACAACAAACAAACAAATCAAAGTGTCGTGAACGCAATTCACTCACTCACTTCAGATAATGAGGTTGGTTCATTCGTACCTTGGTAGCCACGTACACATGATGCAGTGGATGGAGGTGTAGACGATGTAATCACCACCTTCCTCGAGGTGTCTCTACTGCATATGGTAATCAAGCTGCCATGGCCTCAGCATCAGTGCAAACAATACATCGAGATACCCAGGCCAAGACAAGATTCTCGTCTTTGCGAGAGCTCAGCGAGGTCAGCCCGACCACGTGATCAAAACACTCGGCACGAGATCACCTCTGCTTCCCGCGCTCGCTGGTCGTATCTGCCTTATCACGTGACAATGATGTACCGTTTGTGAAAAATCAAACGCACACCTCCAGTACAGCGAGTAAAAAACACGAAACCAGAACAGACCAATGGAATGGAGCCCTGCCGTTAAGTCCGCTCTATATAAACCACACGACTGCAATTCTGGCCCCACTGAACAGTGACCCAAGTGACGTATTGCTACCCTATGGCGAAACCTAGTGCAAGTCACTGACGATGAAGTGTTCACTGAGTTTGGATTACGTGAAGACGCTAGTATGTGTGTTCGTGGTGTTGTCGGTGGTGGACTGTCGTCGAGGGCGACGGGCGAAGCGCGGCAATGGCAAGTGCGGGAGTGACTCCCTCGCCGAGTACAACCTCTCCTTCTTCGGGGACTGGGCGAAAGAAGCATTTCCCAGAATGTACCCTAAGTACAGACCTCACGCTCAGTGGTCCAAACTGTTTGGTAAGTCCCATTTGTTTGGCATGAAATACTATCCTTGCAACTATCCTTGCAACATACCATGTACACCAGTTTCTGACTGTTGCACAATTAGAAGTATTTGTTATGTTCCTCATATTCTTTCTCATATAGACTGCCTCCGTGGTGGTAGAACGTCCGCCCGGAGAGCGGAAGGTTCCGGGTTCCATCCCCGGCCGCGTCATACCAAAAGACGTTAAAAGCTGGTTCTTCTTGTTACCCTGCCTGGCGCTCGGCATTAAGGGGCTAAATAAGGACTGGTCGGCTCGGAGTCAGTATACTGTGTCTGAGTGGGGTATTCATGTTAAACTGCGACATCGTATCTCAGTGGGCTAGCACTACAAATAGGGATCAGTCCGGACAACAACAAGCAGCCACACACACGTGCATGCACGTCGCTATATAAGGGCAATAATCTTTGACGCAACGTTAAACTCCATTTCACCTCACCTCACCGCACCTCACCTCACCTCTTTTTCATATGTTTAACTTTAACACAGTTGCTGCAGTTCCCAACGTCATGCCCTTATGATTGTGTTGCATTTAGGGGGTTTCTTTTCCTAAAAAACTGGTACAACTTTGGCATACGAAAATGCACTGGAGATGTCAGCTTTGAGATATACACATGTAGCTTGGGTTGTATATTCCCAAGGGAGCTGAGAATGAAAACCGAGAGGAACACTGATTCATTGACCTGGGTAATGATGTAGCTATTTGAGCATACTATATGGTGTGGGATTGGCGCATTATGATATGCAAATTATTATCAGTGAGTATTGCGTGGATACATTGAATCTCACTCTCCTCAATATGCAATTAGAACAGGACACCACGTGTAAGTGGTTGTAAAATTACAGCTGAAAATTACACGTTACACGTTGTAAGAATGCAAAGTTATGAGGATATCCCAGAAACAGGGGGAGTCGGGGAGGGGGGGGGGGGGGGGGGGGGTCTAGACGCTGTGTCTGGTTCGAACTCAAACGTTGTACAGTAAAATACGTTTATAACGAACACGCTTATAACGAACTGACAGATATAACGAACTTACTTTTTGGTCCCGGCCATTTGCTGTATATTTGTTGTATATAGGCATATAACGAACTACCGTGATAACGAACTAAAATTAGTTCGTTACAACCGTAGTTTACTGTATCTGTATCATAAGAGGAATCATCAACTGTCATATTTCCTAAAACAGTTCTTCAATATTCAATGTTGGAGTCCACAACACGGACATCGGTTGAGATGAAGAGACTCACACTAAATAGATCCCTGGGTGGGGCTGTAGAAGAATTGAGTCTGGTTACAATGATATATGGCGTCACTGTTGCTAAATGCGACTGGGCTCCGGTCAATATTGCTAATTGCGATTCAAAATCTAACTCGTTCTAAGACGTATCTATTTTATCATTAGATATTTTTAAGAAGGGGGCTGAAATTCGGTCAGTCGGTAGTGTTAAAGGAGGACAGAGATCTGGTCAGTCGGCAGTGTTAAAGCGGTACAGGGCTCCAGTCAAACGGCAGTGTTAAAGCGGTACAGGGCTCCAGTCAAACGGCAGTGTTAAAGCGGTACAGGGCTCCAGTTAAACGGCAGTGTTAAAGCGGTACAGGGCTCCAGTCAAACGGCAGTGTTCAAGCGGTACAGGGCTCCAGTCAAACGGCAGTGTTAAAGCGGTACATGGCTCCAGTGAAACGGCAGTGTTCAAGCGGTACAGGGCTCCGGATTGTCAGCAATGTCTCTAATCTCGCTATAAACATGCACTGCCTTACATATGTGGATGTTACCTCACAACACTTCTTACGTCTAGGCCTACGCAGAAACAAGGCATGAGACCATGGTCTCTAGTCTCGCTGTAAGCATTCACAGCATCACAAAAGTGGTGGGTACCCCCATTTCATCTCCCAACAGACAGGTTCAGATCACAACCTTCACCTTTCTGTGTCGGTGGCTGAGCTCCACGCACCACGTATCGCTGCGAAAAGTAAAGGCGAGGACAGGAGACTCAGTACAGAACGCACTTGCACCAAACAGCGTTATTTCACACTGGGATCAGATTTGCGGGGGGCTTGTGATTGAGATGAGCAAAAACTGATGTGTTATCCGAGGTCCGAATGTTTTCTGGAGAATCCTGCATAATGTGATTGCATGTAAATAGCGTCCAACGTGAAACAACGCCATGGCGTTTTGCAGCAACGCGTTATAAATTGACAATGCACTGGTTTTACCTGCACCAAACATTCCGCTGGTGCTGCTTAAGAGGCATTGGGTGCAATAAATAGTTGCAATAAATGTTTTGTCTTAATAAATTCTCTTTACATCCAAGCTTTCTTGTTTTGAGCCCTTTGATAGAAGAAAGTGTGTATTAATGTTCGGTATTTGTAAAATGCAGCTATTTATAATTCTCCTGTCAACAGGTTCCTAATTTCACCACCGCGTGCCGACACGTGACTGCACTGCGCGTGATTCGCAAACTGACGTCAATTTGACGCCCCCAATGCGCACATCGCGGAGCGGCATGACTATTTTGAACAACATTGCGTTGTATGCCCACTGACCTGGAAATCATACAAAAAATATTTAAATTTCAAGAATTCCATTTTTTCATCTGATCCATGTCACTTTTAGAGATGTTTCAGTTTTCCTTTTTGCTGTAGCGTCGATGCACCAAAAACATCACGTATTTTGAAGCAGGTTCAGCAAATCAGCATACGATTCAGACAATGGGAAGCTGTATCCGGCCTGTCTGTGCACTTCATGTAAAGGGCAATGAACGCTGTCACTGTTTGCAAACAGTCTGTTTTCATCCCCGGTGTGTGCATGTTAGATGCATGCGGTTGACACATCACACCCCCCAAATCCATGGCGGTCTGTCATGGCTGCCACAGGCAAAGGTCACACAACTCACGGCGTATTTCGATGTAGCTGAATCATTGTCATATTCTGGTGGAGCTCAATATGTCCCAGTTTGCCTTTAAAGACATTATGTAAATCGAATAACTTTAATCAGGTGAATTGTCGAAATGATCTCATCCTATTTCAGTGCGAACGCACTGCATCGTAACGATCTCCTTAAAAAAGCACAGTTGGCATGGTGACACCTCCCATAAAAGTGCACAGCCGGCATTATGACACTCCTATAAAAGTGCACAGTCGGCATTATGATACTCCTATAAAAGTGCACAGTCGGTATTATGACACCTCTCATAAAAGTGCACAGTCGGCATGATGACACCTTCCTTAAAAGTGCACAGTCGGCATTATGACATTCCTATAAAAGTGCACAGTCGGCATTATGACACCTTCCTTAAAAGTGCACAGTCGGCATTATGACACCTCCCATTAAAGTGCACAGCCGACATGATGACACCTCCCATAAAAGTGCACAGTCGGCATGATGACACCTCCCTTAAAACTACACAGTCGGTATGATGACACCTTTAAAAGTGCACAGTCGGTATGATGGCACCTTTAAAAGTGCACAGTCGGCATTATGACACATTCCTTAATAGTGCACAGTCGGCATTATGACACCTCCCATTAAAGTGCACAGCCGACATGATGACACCTCCCATAAAAGTGCACATTTGATGACACCTCCCTTAAAACTACACAGTCGGTATGATGACACCTTTAAAAGTGCACAGTCGGTATGATGGCACCTTTAAAAGTGCACAGTCGGCATTATGACACATTCCTTAATGGTGCACAGTCGGCATTATGACACCTCCCATTAAAGTGCACAGCCGACATGATGACACCTCCCATAAAAGTGCACAGTCGGCATGATGACACCTCCCTTAAAACTACACAGTCGGTATGATGACACCTTTAAAAGTGCACAGTCGGTATGATGACATCTACCGTGCACTGTCGATCCAATGATACCTTCATAAGGGACGTACTGTCGATAGTATCATCCCACTCCTTAATGCCTTCATACCCAGGTTATCGATGCCACTCGTTTTAAAGGCGCACTCCCGTGGGGATTCCCAGTTTGAATGGGTCCCCATTACCCTATGCTTGTCGTAGGAGGCTACTAAAATGGAAGTGGTGATCAGGCTCGGTGACTTGGTTGATTGGCTGTTGCTCATTGTTGCAATTCGCTGTGCAGAGTTGCGTCCCTTTGGAACGCCAGAAACCTATGATCGTAGGTTCGAATCCCGTTTCGCCCCGATTATGTTTCTAAGTTTGTGAGCACGATACCCGTGCTAGTGGTTTCACCAAAGTGAAAACGTCAAAAACCTGCATCACTTCGGACTTTCCTCCCACATCGAGCAGTGATATAACTGAAATACTATTCACAGCTGTGTTAAACCCAACTCACTCACGCACTGTCCACATATTACGTCCCTACAAGCACAGAAAGAAAAAACGATAATTCTATGGTGCACGATAATACCAAAGAAGTCGTGTACATACGTGCGTATGTTCGCAGACTGATACCCGTTCATGACTTCAGCTGAAGCCAAAACAGGTACATGATATAATGTGCAACAATCCGTCACGTCACCCAAATCTATGTTTAGAAGCACTAGAGTTACGACGCCCATAAAGATTGAGTTTCGGGTATGTAGGAAGACTAGCAAACTAAGCACAAACACAATTAAAAAAAGGTTACAGTTTAACAATGTCTCTGTCGGCTAAAAATGTCCGTACACCTGTAAATCACTTTAACGCATGTGCGAGAGACGTGTCGTCGGGGACGCAGAGGGGATTATCCGGTGCCCCTTCCCGCCCTCCCAAAGGCAGTGTCAACATTAGTCGTCAGAGACCCACTGGCAACATAAGTATTATTTTAAGTCTTTAGGGCAATGTCATTCATGCACTGCACGATGCCAGATCACGTGGGCGAGACGTACATGCTGCAGGAGGGTGGTCACATGTTGTCTCAGTCGAAGATTTGTAAGGACGTCAACTCCGGCTATAACGAACTATGATTAAAATGATGATGATGATGATGATGATGATGATGATGATGGTGGTG